GTTTGTGTAAAGGAACACTATAAGGTATGCTCGGTTTTTATAGTTGTAAAATGATTTTAGAGAAAATAAGCCATTAAAAGTCGTCGTTACATTTGATTTGATATGTTTGTTGAAGCCTACATAATTTAATACTTCAATAACTAAATAATTACATTTGTTTAATAGTTGTTAGCAAGTTGTTAGCTTGATACTTAGATATAGCAAATTGAATAATGATAAAACAGAGTAAATTTCTTTTTAGTAATTTCCTCTTTCAAAATCACTCAGTGCGAACAATATCTATATTGAAACATATTTAACTGATGCTCAAATTTCATTTATTTCATAAGGAGAGGCAAATCAAGCAAAAAACAAAACTCGGGGATTCGCATGATCCCCAACATGAGCTAGTCGGCGTGCGTCAATGGGCCAAATGATACCTGATATGCATGATCTCCAACAGGAGTTAGTTGGCGTGCGTCAATGGGACAAATGATACCTAATACGCATGATCTCCTACAGGAGCTAGTCGGCGTGCGTCAATGGGACAAATGATACCTGATATGCATGATCTCCAACAGGAGCTAGTCGGCGTGCGTCAATGGGACAAATGATACCTGATATGCATGCATCACTAACCAGTCCATACTTAGTCAAAACGTCACTATCGGGAATACGACACAATCGGTAAATGTATAGACCAGACGACTGATCTTATATACAAAGCTCTAAGACAACCAAAATATGTCGTTAATTAGGTAGTTGAGAACCCTCGGATATATCAACCAATCCGGGATTGTAACTGTAAACCTCTGTAATGTCGAATCAGTATGTTAGTGCAGAGAAATTGAAAGTTGAAATCGTTTGTCATAGATTCTAGATTGTGTCAATTTTGAAGAAACAAATCAAGATTTAAAGCAGATCTGCTACTTTCAGTATATGAGGTGTAAGCAATCGCGGAAATGTTGGTTATTAAATTAAAAACATCGTCGATATTTCCGATTGTGGAATCAATGAACTTTGCAAGGTGTTTTTTATCATTTTCTTTGAGATGATTTTGAAAATAAAGGTATGCCTAAGGTGCTTATAGTTGGACTAGACATACATAGCAGAAGGTGCAAACCCTGCAATGTTCTCCTGTGTTATACAAATACATGTGACATTTAAAGAAAGCATCGGAATGACAGTAGTTATTTTATTTTCCTAAGTTTTGTACTCGATCACCCACTGATATACAAACAAATAGATGTAATATGATTGCCAATAAAAAAAAACTATTCAGATGACATGGATAAAAATTATAGGTCGCTATACGGACTTTAACAATGAGAAAAACTATTCTCCATAGCCAGTTGTACAATGAATATTCAAATTGTAAAACCAGGTTTGTATGTGTGCAACACATCTCACACTTTACTTTTTTCACGAACTTTATGATTGCTTCATTAGATATGTGGGGTTTTTTCTTCATATAAAAAGCAAGGATTGTTTTGTTATTGAATAATACCAACAGAGAGATTAAAAACAAAAAGTTGATTAAAACGCTTTTTGGCATTTAAATTTTTTGCAAACAAATGCTAAAAATATTTAGAAACCTTCTCCTTTTAAAAGTATTGATTTGATCAAAATACCGTATCAATACGCATATGATATGAAGGATTCGTTCTGCCTGACATTTTACATTTACTTAATCGAAAAGGTTGTTACTTATGGCGTATGTATTATATTAAGAATGACAATATCTCTATGATTCTCAAATACGAATAGGTTGTATTTTTACTTATATGTAATTGCGTCTTTACTACTGAAAATTCTATATTTTCCTAATTTTCATAAAAATACAAAAATTACTGTATACTTATCTGTTTGGTACAAATCACTTACAGTGAACTGAAAAATAAAAATAAAAATAGAAGTTTAAATAGTTATTTTTTTTGCAAACAAATGCTTAAAATATTTAAAGACAAAAGCGGACAACTTAACTTTGAACTCATGATCCATCCCGAATAAAATAAAATAAAACAACGCTACCTTGTTCATTTATATGATTTTTAGGTTAAAAGCAACTATATGCACAGGATTCATTTGGTTTTTTTCACAGTTTGATTTAGAAGAAAAAGGTTGATTAAGAAGAACAAACATGGTTATACAATACAAATAATTACACCATAACTAACAAAATTCTATATTAATATTCGTGTAATAGTTAGAAAATACATCAAATATCACCATTACAAACTTAATGCAAATTTCATATTGTATTTTTAGAAATTTAACTGTGACGTCACTTTTTATGGCGTTGATACATTCGTGTGACGCACGGTTCATTATTCTATTGTGCTGTATTTGTGTTCTGTCGTAAATTAATTTTAGGTGTTCGTTGTTATTCTGTGGGTTTAAATGTTGAAATGGACTATTATACTATTTATCTATGTATTTCTATGTCCTGAATGTTCTTGCATTTATTTGTACTTTATTCCTGTCATGTAATGTTGTCATTTTAGAAGATTTTTTAACATTGCTATATAAGCGGGAGGTTTGACTTGCCATAAAACCAGGTTCAATCCACTATTTTTTTCTTAAAATGTCCTGTACCAAGTCAGGAATATGGCAATTATTATCACATAGTCCGTTGTTATGTATGTTGGCGTTTGTTTTTATAGCAGTCCAATATTTCTGTTGTTCCGTTTTGTCTCCTCTTATAGTTAATGTGTTTCCCTCAGTTTTAGTTTGTGACTTGGATTTGTTTTCGCTTAATCGATTTATGACCATTGAACAGCGGTATACTACTATTGCCTTAATTTAAGTTAAACTTGGACGTCATTAGCGTAATTATTTCCCTGGATTGATCCTTTTTTGTAGAATTCAAATATTGATACAGGTTAAGAGGAAACATTTGGTATATATATGTATGTATTATTGCAAATGTTAAGACGATACATGACAATTTTGAATATTGATAATGTTCCAAACAAGGCAACAATGCGTTTTTATTTACATTTCATATAAAGTATTTCTTAATGTATTGCAGACAGGTTGACGACATAATGAAAAACAACATCGGTCTGACAATTAAATTGGAATACGTATACCATGCGGTTTATATCTACTTATTCAGATGGGAACCTAGTTTTCTTGTTTATTACCAGTATACTAGATGTCAATTCTTCATTTTTTTAAAAGACATTTTTAACAAGATACAAGGGGGCACTGGAAAATCCAACAAAAACATACAACACCATGGCAAATAAATAAACCATAAAAGGACAAACAACAATAACAACACTATACAAAGAAAACTAAGACCTAGCATCCGTCGTGTTGCTCATGAAAATATCCATTGTAAGTCTTTAGTGGTAAAATAGGAAAGATTGTTGTTATGATAAGTGGAATATATTCATAGTTATATGGAATACAATTATTTCAAATATGTCAACCAAACTATGATCGCGTCCGAAAAGCCATGTAAGGGATGCCACTAACATTTATTATTTGTATTCAATGTCTTCTGTGTTATCAGCAACCCGCTATCATGAAAGTCACGATTTAGTTATAAAATGCCTGGTTGAAATAAGATAATAGAGGAAATGGAATCTAACATAACCTAGTCAACCTACTTTTACAAATTGTGACTTGAATGGAGAGTTGTCTCATTGGCACTCATGCCACATCTTTTTTTAGCTAAACACCTCAACAGTTGAATTGAATGACCGGAACACATAAACAAATCTGAATCATTGTAATATATACTTTTATCATAAAGGTTGTGTATCAAAGATGTCTGTATTTAATGGTCATTGTTAAATATTTTGCCTATAGTTACGGGTTGTCTATTATCCGAACGAGCCTAGTGTTTAAATATATTTCAAAACCATGTCTGTAGTAAATGACTGTTTTGACTATTTGTCACTTACAATAGACGTAGATAATACTTACAAATCAGTTCTCTGTTCTTTTCTGAAAGACGAAACAGATCAACGGTGTCAGTTTCACATGTATAAGTGACAGATTCTCAAACAAATATACTGATAGATGTGTTGTCGTTTACTCAGATAGCATTTCCAAAGCAAAACAAATGGTTTCGAATAAAATTTTACCACCTATTGTTGAATTATTTTGTGAGTTAATCAACCAAAATCATTATTGACAAAGATTACATTATGATGCTAACATTAACGGCATTGCATTTTCTTTATCAGACGTGCATTACGACAATTAATGGTCTCATAGGTGATGGTTGAATCCCCAAATATAAGTATATAACATTTAATACAAACGTAAAGTGTTTAAATTGATAAATATTCGCTGCATTGAGAGCTATACATTATGCTTCCATTGACAATTGTGTTATCATTTATGAGTCTTTTTATCGTTCTGAATATGTGAAACATAACCGTCGAAAAAAGGCCTATGTCGAGTCATTGAAGATAAAGTTCAATGTTAAACTATAATTAGTGTATGTACGATTTGTCGTTCATTATTGAGGATTGTGGTTAAGTTCAATGTTGTTCTGGAATTTTCAACGAATCAAAACTACAATGTTTTACCAAGATATAAGTGAATATTTTTTTTAACGTATCAAACTTGTCCTCACAACATTTTTTCCATTTAAGTTATTTTGGGAAATTCGGTATCCAAGTGACTATTATACGTTCATTCATATCAATGATGGCACAACCGGACCTATGTTGCTCGTTACCTGCATATACAGGTGTTTTATTTATTTCAAATTTCAAAGTATTTACAAGTTATGAGGTAGATTTCTACTCTTGAAAACTCTTTCTGTTTTTTCTTACATCAATGATCTTTAAGTGAATTTCTGAAACATTGCAATCATCTTGATGTACTTAGCCAAGTACAATTGAAAGACGTTGCATATTTCGAAAAAAAACAGATATTCCGCACATCATTGAAAATTAAACATTTAAAACCTTTTTTTTTTATTGAAACATCGGATACACCATATAAGATAAATATATATCTTTACGTCATGTCCATAGAAACAATATTAAGGAACTTACCCACACTTATCACATCTGTACAAGTATTTGCCTTCCTCTTTTGGTTTCACATCCTGTTCATAATCGCTATAATGAACACCATAATTGATTGAATTAAAATTAATCTTTTTTTTTAAGATTATATAAACACTGAGCTATCACTAACTGGTACACAAATAAACAGTGTAAAAATACCAAACGGCATTTGAATATTCATGAGGCACTTACCAAGTCAGTGATTCTCAAGTTAGATAAAAACAAATTATAATCTACTCATACCCAGACATAGATATAACCTTTGCACCAGGAAGATATGTTTCCTAAATTTAGAAATATTTCCTATGGTGTCCGTGTCGGATATTCTAGTGTTGATGATCATATTGGTCTATATCGTCTCTTTTTTACAAAACCTGATGACAACACCAAAACAATATTCGAATGTACACCAACTGATGTATCGACAAGGTAGTAACGAATTAACGACATTCTCATCTATATTCAAAATCCATGTAGAATTATTTATGTTTTATATATACCTTTCCCTCCTTTTCCCCGGCTTTCTTACAGCAAAACATATCATGAACTGATGAAGTCTTTTGATTTAACAATACGCAGAACAGATTAATTGTTCTACATATTGGTAATTTCACATGACTATTATTCGAAACATTTTAAAAATAACTGGTAGTGTTATGTTAAGTTCATTCAGTGATAGTATACAGTCAAACGAAACAAGTAAATTAACAAAAATACCGAACTCCGAGGAAAATTCAAAACGGAAAGTCCCTAATCAAATGGCAAAATCAAACCAACTTTACTAACTTTCGTCACTATTCGTGAATGTGACTGCTAAAGTCGTTGACCTCTTCATCAACAGTAGATTATGAATGTGACTGCTAAAGGCGTTCATCCCTTTATCAACAGTATATTGTGAATGTGACTACTGGAATCGTTGACCCCTTCATCAACAGTCGATTTTGAATGTGACTGCTAAAGTCGTTGACCCCTTCGATAGTCGTTTGTGAATGTGACTGCTGAAGTCATTGACCCTTTCATCGCCAGTCGATTATAATAATGACTGCTAAAGTCGTTGACCTCTTAATCAATAGTCGATTGTAAATATGACTGCTGAAGTCGTTGACCCCTTCATCTCAAATCGATTGTGAATGTGACTGCTGAAGTCGTTGAACCTTTGATAACCATTCGATTGTAAATGTGACTGCTGAAGTCTTTGAACCCTTCATCAACAGTCGATTTTAAATAATCTGGTGAATCGAGGATATTTCAAAGAATAGAAAACATCAAAGTGGACATTTAAACTCATACGTCGAAGACATATTGGGAAATATATGGCAAACAACAAAAATTGACGAAAGGACACACGACAGTTAACATAAAACTACCTATACAAAATTAAAAGAAGACTGCGCACCATGACTCGATAATGTCGTTGGAAAAACAGTATGGTGTCCTCAGTTTATATCATGCACAACTTGCCCTACTAGTGCTGATAATTTTGATGAATTTCTTTTACATTCAGTATCTTGGTTATATCGTAAATTTATAGTATCAAGGTTTTAAATCTTCAACTAGACAAGCAGACACATTTTAACGAGCAATATATTTACGAAAATTAAATACAACTAAATTTTAACGCTATGGAAAATAATTTAAGAGATACGTTTGATTAGCATTATCAGTATTAGTCACTTAATCGTAATCGTGCTCAATTTAATGCTTGCTTACGTATGCAACGCATTACAAATGACTTTGTAGAAGATGTAAATCAAAGCAAAACGAAATATTTAAAACAAATATATGAGTTGGTGAAATATGTATCAATAAATATAAGCAAATACGGCTTTAAAACCAGCTACTTAGAAACAATGTAATGAAGTTAAGTACATAACTAGTAAAAATGTCAACCGTTCAACAGTGCTCTGATTTACACCATATACGATACCAATTCAATCAGAATCGTCGATAGAGGGGCTTCATTACGTAAAATTGTAAGGTATACATGAATAATTTACTTTAAAATTTGACGAAGAGGTTACATTGTCATAAGAGTAAGTTTAACACTGTAAAATATACAAACATATTGCCCTACCTCTTTGGTTTAGGTGATTTTTTCTCTCTGTGCCCGGTTTGTAGTGTACGTACATTACTGTGAAAATAGTCCAATGAATTTGATTTTATGCTAGTGTTTCTTTAAGGCATAATATCAAAACAAAACATTTAAACAATTTTTGAAAACAAATTTCTCGGTACCGGTTTGAAAACTTAGTATTCCTGAATTACTTCTTAATTTTACGAAGTATAGGGACTACATTGTTATTTCATTTCGTAATGTACATAATTATTGGCCACATCTGTTTTAACTAAAGAACATTGTTAATCGATTATAAATAATAAACTGAAAATAATCACATCTTTTGTTTTATTAAATTGTCTCCATCCGTCTTTCATGCGATTTACTTCAGAAATACAGTAATATTTGAAAACAGAACTATGATTAACCAAATATATACACCGGGAACAAACTTACACGAATAAGTGTCACATTATAGTTATCAAGCCATATAAAGCATATGTTACGACTGCAAAAAGCAGTCGACCAATCAATACTCTTATCATGTGTTTTCCCTGTTGATTTACCTTATATTGAATGTGCCAAACAGCTGTGTGATGTCATGATCGGTTGTGGACTGAGCAGTATAGTGTACGTCGGGATACTCGGTTATAGGCTCTATCGTCAGCTTTGCGATGTCATCTGTAAGCTTCTGTAAAGATTGTAACAATTTATCATCGTTTCGCGTCTTGTCTAGTTCATATATCTTCTTGTCTAAGTCGCTTCCCACTTTCAAATCTATTCTAGTATCTGATATGATCGCTATCAATTTGTCCTTTTCCGTCCTGGATTGATCCTTGACCGATGCAATCATATGTGCGATACATTTATCAACCATAGCCTTTATATTTGTACCTTCTTCTGTAATAGCTTTGACAACTACTGCCACCTTCATATCAAATGCTCTTAAACCTTCTTCCATCTTTTTCATGTTTTTGGTTGCCTCTTGTACCTTTCTACGCAGTTCTTGTTTATTCTTCACTTTCAACCGTGAGATGCTGTCATGAAGCTTCGAGAAATCGTGCCGTTTGTGACTTCCTGTCACACAACTGCTGCAAACTGCTACGTTACAGGTATTACACACAAAACTTACGTCTTCATTGTGGTCTTTGCATTTTGATTTACCTTCCGGGATTATGTCTAATGCAGACTGAAACTGGTGAGTTTTTGATATTTTCTGCCTATTATGAAATGTTTTACAATTTTCACAAAAGTATTGCTCACACTCTAAGCAGTATTGCGATCCTGAAGCACTTATGCAAATCTCACATGTTTTAGACGCCGCCTGAGCCATTTTATCGGAAAGCATATCCACTTATCACACAGGTAATTTTAAAAACCCGTGACACAGTAATCTATATTTAGATAGAATACGATTATATCAATATGTGTCGTTTATTGATTTGAAACGTTAGATATATTCCGATATAAGAGAAACCTCTGTATAAATTAGGAATAATAACAACAAGCGATCAACATTAATTAAGTCATTATAAGTAAGAAATCAGTGCAACCCGTTATACAGCAAAAGACACAGGGATTGCACATAACAAATTTGAAGCTGATAATAAGTTTATAAAAATATATAGAATGATTTTTTATATATACGTCGAACATTATTATTGAGGCATATGAAGTCTCTATACACCAACTACTGTTCCTTCGTAAATATATATTATAAATTGTTTGATTGTTTTATTTTTGTATCCGTATGTTAAACACCTCGTGATGTGGAAATTGATATACAGGTACAATGCCTACAAAAACATAATGCATTACTTAAATCTTTTGCCATCAAAATGTGCATTTATTCAAATCATCAACGCAACGCTTTTGATGTTTATATAAGTACACAACAATAAAACATGTTTTATAATTTGTAGATCCATCGTGTATAGGTATGAAAGGTTTTACATGTATGAAATTTAAAGAGCTGTTTCTTTTGTTTGTTGTAATTTGTGCATGTATCTAGCGTGTTTCTGTACTAAGAAATGAACGAATGACCATTTGAGAATAATCAAAGTCAGAGCCATGATTTCATAACTTGTTCTAAAATTGTTTAATGAATCAGCTAAAACGATCCAGATTTTTATCTGATTCATATCAGAACTAAAGAAAAGTTTACGAATGCCTTTACGAGTTTGTTAAACATTAAATAATTTATGTTTTATAGATGTATTTTCTAATTGTCGTGATCACTATATCGTCCTTTTTAACTCGAATGTGACATCCCAGAATTACTCTTATTAACGAACGTGTATTCAAATGAGAAACACAACAGGTGCCAAATATTTAGCAGAATCTGCTTTCGGAGCACTTGCATTTTGGTCGCTTTTCGGTTTTTTTCCATTGCGTTGTCAGTTTGTATTGGACGTATGATATGTACAACAACACAATTTACGAAAAACAAATATGACAAACATGAACCAAAGACAACCACCTATATATAGGCTCCTGACTTGGGAGAGGCCCATTCAGAATGTAGCGGGGTTAACCTTGTTTTGTACATAACCATGTTTTGTACATTGAACAAATAAATAGACATTCCAAGATACCAACAATATGTTGAACATTTGAGGAGAAGAAGATCATTAGATTCAAACGAATCATAGTCAACAATTTCAACTATTGCCCAAACGAATGAAAAAGTCCTCCTGAAGTAAACAATCTGTTCTTATTCTGTCTTTTAAGATCATTAAAGTGAAAATGCAAAACGCACTAGCTTCCAATAAAAATGGTGACACATTGTTTAGGTACAGATTTTGGATAATTGATAATGGAAATATAAACTAAAAAAAGGCGTTATCACGAACCAGCAGACATTTAAAAATACTTTATTGACATTGTTTATCGAATGTTTGTTGCAGTATATTCCGATTGCTTATTCAACAACAACTTTGAACGTTTAACAAAAATAAAGATATAACAGTACTACTACTACTACATCTACTTATACTAATACTACCATGTAGTAATAATAATCCAAATGATGATAGAAATAAATAAGAGAATAACGATAATGATAAAAACTCTACTATTTTAAATCAACTAGAGAATAAAGAACTTACATCAGCAAAATGTTAAAGACATACGCTACGTATTGTGCAATTAGAATAATAACAAGTATCGGATAAAAAGTTGATGTGTTGTCTCAACCGGCTTAAAAACACTTGTTGATAATGGCTTTTTGTGAACAAAAGATAAATCATGAACACTAAAGTTTAAGCAATGCACTTCCATGAAATACTTGTTATTTAAAGGAGGTGGAGAACATTTGTTGCGTTATGTTTAAATTGTACTCAAAAAGTTTGTTTATCAAAGATATGTTTGTTCAGTTAAAAGTGTATACTATCTCATATGTTAAATTTGTATGCATGAATTTTCCAAAATGACAGTTCAATTAGAATTCTAACACAACAAAAAGATATCTTTTGGATGATTAGTGTATATATTTAGTGACCATACCAAAATATAATTCCAAAAACCGACGAAAGAAAAACCCCAGTGTCGACAAAACACGTCATAGACAACTCTTGAAAAAAACAACACACTTCCCACTAAATACCCGACCTGATGCTAAATGAGGATCATTATGTTATATATGATATGCTAATCCAATGAGGCTGACTTCATACAGGAACTTCTTAGATTGAAAGAAAAGAAGTTAGAAGTATCCTTTAACTTAACTAACCGCTATATAGATGATGTGCTCTAACTGAATAATTCAAAATCTGGTGACTATGTCGAACGTATCTATCCCATCGAACTTGAGATAAAGGATGCAACAAATACAGTTAAATCTGCCTTATACCTTGACTTACATCTAGAAATTGACAATGAGGGTCGGTTGAAAACAAAACTTTATGACAAAAGAGATAATGTCAGCTTCCCAATTGTGAACTTTTCATTTATATGTAGCAACATTCCAGCAACGCCTGCATACGGAGTATATATCTTGTAGTTGATACGATGTTACAGGGCTTGTATTTCCTATCATAATTTCCATGATAGTGAGTTGCTGCTCACAAGGAAGCTATTAAATCATGAGTTCCAAGTGGTGAAGTATAAATCATCTCGTCGTAAGTTTAACGGACGCAATCACGAGTTGGTTTACCGTTATGGAATATCCGTTTCACAGATGAAATGGGATGTCGTAACTACAGTCCCGTCCACTTTTTCCACGGAAGTGACTGACCGAATAAGACTTATTACCTGGTGTGTACCAATATGCGCAACACGACGGGTGCCTCGTGTGGAGCAGGGTTTGCCTATCCTTCCAGAGCACCTGAGATCAACCCCAGTTTTCGATGGGGTTCGTGTTACTCAGTCTTTAGTTTTCTATGTGTTATGTACTGTTGTTTGTTTGTTGGTCTTATTTTTATTTTTTTAACCATGACGTTGTCAGTTTATTTGTTTAACCATGACGTTGTCAGTTTATTGTTGACTTATTAGTTTGAATGGCCCTTTGGTATCTTACGCCTCTCTTTTAATCCAAAACAATTTCTTGAAATTTTTTGAAATTGTTATGCTGTTTACGCAAACTTAAATTCTAATTTAATACATTCAAGCAACATATCTTTTGGCATAATCTAATATTTAAGAATAGCTCAAAATGAGAATTTTGTTTTGGAAAATTTGAACTGTTTTGCGCTAAAGAAGTTATTTGATAGTTTTATAATGAAATTTGAAAAGAGAGGCAAAGGAGTCAAACTCATAAGTCTAAAACGAACTGACAATGACATGGCAAACAATGAAAAGCAACACCACAAAACAAACAACAGTATTAAAAACAACGGACCGAGCAACCAACAAGAACACCACTAAATACCAGGGGTGATATCATGTCTCCGGAAGAGTAAGCTGAAACTGATCAACTTGTGGTACCCGTTTTGTTGCTCATACATGTTCAAACGCAGCGATCAATTTAATTCGGAAGTCACATACAAGGAAGAGTATGGTTTTTTGTGGTTACGACAATCGGACCATATCCGTCGTCATCAGCGAAACAGATATTCCATAGTGGTCAACTAACTAGTCGTAGTGTATATACAATTTTCGAAGGGATGATTTCAATTTCATCTTTTGGCATTCAAATACCAAAGGAATCAGGACAGGAAATGGTAGCTCTAGAATATCGTATCAACTGGGAGATATATATATATAGAAATAAGGAGATTAGGTATGCTTGCAAAATGAAACAACTATCCACCAAAGTTCAAATAAAGTGGATGTAATCAATTATTGGCAACAGTACGGGCCTTCACCAATAAAAAAACCCCACTCCGCTATAAAAGGTCCCGACATGAAAATTATGAAACAATTGAGAAAACTAACGGTCTGATGTATATCAAAACAATTAACGAAAAACTGCATATTCGGGCGCAATTGTAATGTTGCAACATAGAACAGGACAATTCTCATTTGGGAAGCTGAAATCATATATTTCGTCGTAAAGTTTAGTTTTCAACCGACCCTCATTGTCGATTTCTAGATGTAGGTCGAGATGTGAGGCAGATTCAAATATATCTGTTGTATGCTTTATTTCAAGTTCAAAGAAACAATAAGTTCAACATAGTCACCAAACTTTCATTAGATAGGAAGAGGACACCACTTATATAGCAGCACGTGAAACTAAATGATGATGGTGCTTCTTTTCATTCTTCCGAAAAAGATCCTGCATAAGTATGCCTCATAAACGGATCATCACGGTAAACAGAGTAGCACCGTTGGTTTCTATTAGAATACCGATTGTTTGTGGAAAAACACTTTCTACAAACGTAACACAATGTTGCCAATCCAGAAATCAAACTTCGAATACAAAATATTAAAACAGTCATGACAGTGACCTTATAATACCTTTTCATTTGATTTCATCATTTTGTTAACGTATTGGCATGCAAATCGAAACTTCTATGAATTATCAAAGATATGATAAATGAAATCATTCCAATTCAATAGCTGATTGTCACAGGAAAAACAGTAAAGTTCCTACTCACGATTATGTACACATAAATTGACTGTAAAAATTCTTTTTTTTTTCAGGCAAGCTTATTTGCATACGTTTTCTCTGGAAGCATTACTATAAACTTCACCTATGATAAGGTGGCCAACCTATTCAAGCAAAGTGGTTCCAATATTGCATCGACACAACTTTCGGGCAAGCGCGTCATATAGGTTAAATGTCAAGTGCATGTACCTGCTTAGAAGGATCCCATATTGATTCGCTTACTACTAGAAACAACTGTAAAAACAAAGCAGCTTGTTCGATATCGGGAAATCGCAAATACGTTCATTGCACAACATTTTTCCCCTTTAGAGGCACGCATGATTCACGTAA